TCATATGTCTGTCTCCTTTGTCTGCCAAACTATTTGCTGATGTATTTATTTTGGCAATTTCCAATTCAGATATATTTTAGTACACTCTTTCTTCACGCTCCTCCCATGTTTGTGCAACAGGACATTGTACCCTCTAGGATAACGAGATGGGTGTAAGGACCAAGTCTTAGGCTGGTGTAAATTGGCAATGCCAATAAAGTCCTTGGAGTTGCGCTGATTTACACCAACACCGTATATTCATTTTCTCACATACTAGCCTTAATACTTCTCTACTAATATAACTGATACTTCTCATATGAGCAGTTTATTTCTCATATGAGCAATTTATTTCTCATATGAGCTGTTTATTTTTTGTTAATTTTATAGTACCAAACACTGCAACAGACCTGATTATAACTAATCCAAATTTATTTATAGGCAAATCATTACTTGACTATATAGATACGTGTCTAGAGGAGGAAAGATCCAGCAATCATTTATCATCTCCATCTACTTATGCCACACTTCCCTCTAATGTACACACTTTATGTTCATAAAGTTTCTGCTTTCAGGCTTTCTGATGGTCCTGGTCTTTAAGGCATAAAGAAATATAGTCCTTTGCCTCATGCATGTGGTTGGCCAAAGGCATTTATCTGACATAAGGAAAACCTATTGTATTTGATTAAAAACCTCTTTTTTTTCTCTTTCTCAATCCAAAATTTGGGGTTCAAGTACAGCAAAGTAACCAAACCACAGACAGGGCAAGCAGCTCAGTAGGAATTACAGAGAATAAAAAGACTGTGTGATGAAAACCAAAGTTGAATGATATGAAAATTCATTTATTGCTTATCTAAACCACAACGGGTTTCTGCTACTGTAAATGTCTCCCTTTTCCATTCTTAAAATGTCTATTATAGACCCATATACTGTCCTCTGAGTTTATACACGTGACACTGTTGTTCACAACATACCGGCACAAAGAAACCACAGTTATCACTAAAGATACCACTATAGTAAATACAGTTACAAATTCCATCCTATCCAATTGCTGCTCTGGAAACTGTAATAGGAGCAGCACTGAATCATTCAGACTTCATAACACGGAAAGCTCTATCAAAGATTTTGCAATGAAATACTGACCTTGGGGGAATGCAATGTGCAAATATTTTTAATAAATTGTGTTATCAATGAAATAAGAAACATTCATTAATAATGAATGTTATAGTGAAGGAGGTGCGAACGCTGCCCTGAAGCGGCCGCCGTGGACCCCCGGAGCCGGGCGATCCGGGGCAGGCCAGCCGGGAGAGCCGCCTCGCCTGGTGCCCGGAGACGGGGGTGGTTTGCCTTTGGCGTTGCCTCGCAGAAGACAGATGGTTGCTTGTCATTTCACCATTTTTGCCATCTCCTGCACGGTGTTGCTTAAATAAATCTTCTCTTTCTTGGCCCCCACTACACTGCGTTGTTCCTAATGTGTCTGTACTGTGTCAGAAGTTGTGAATCGCACACAGCAGAAGGCTTTTCATGAACATGAAGAGCACTGGGGAGCACTTGCAGGACAGATCTTCTAATTAGAAGACAGTTAAGTGACTAAGTGTTTTGAAAATGTCTAGGGTGATAATTTACTTGTAACTCTTTTCGCAATGCCAGACATCGCGTGGTTGCCTCGCGAATCCTATATAATGCTCTTGCATGGTGTATTAAAAAGCTTGGGTTGAAGCCGTGTGCCACGGAGGAGGGGAAGTGCAGCTGAGGCTGTGTGGCGGTGCCAAGCCTGTAGTTTTCAGTGTGGTGTTACAGTTTTGAATACGCATTTCCCAGAGATGAAGGCTCAGAAGTAGTGTTGGTTCAATATGTGAGCTACTCCCATCTGAGTGGAAACCCTCAGTAAAATACAAGGCTTAAAAGGAGACAGTCATCATCTGCTCTGCAGGCACGCTAGCCTCCCAGTCCAGAAGAAGGGAGCAATGTCTTCTTTAGACATCTTAATTTACATTTTCATGAAAGGTGACATAGTAAATACCTTTGCCGTGCCTGAGCGTTGTGAACCCAGGGTGTCTGAGGCACTGAAGAATCATTCCATGAGTGTTGGTCACCTTGATCTGTTCCACCATTGCTCTGTTTGTGGCACGCAGAAGGTCTCAGAGGCAATGAGTGGAGAAAACTTGGAAGGTGGAATAAAACAAATAGGAACAATATGTGTAGGGTGAGAAACCAGGACGGAAATTACCGCATCATGCTAACTGGGGACTGTACTTGTTATTACTTGCTATAAACACTCGCTGATGTGCACCCACCCAAGTGCCCTTGCTGTGGTCAGGCAGTTTACCTTGTAGTACAGATCTGTTGCTGGTGCCCTGAATGACTTGCAGCTGCAGTGGTTGTATAAAAGCAGTAATTGATTTCCTTGCATAGCAAAGTTGTGTTACATTTTGATAAGCCTTCACAATTAATATATTTGCCAAATGACATAGATAATAAATAGAAATCAGGTAAATACATGTTTTATCTTTGGACACTGCTTTATGCTAGAATAAAATTGGACTTTCAGCATCGAGGTTTCTAAGAAAAAAAAAAGGTCCCATCGATGTTTACATCAGTATTGCCGTGTGGGACAGTTCATGATTCTTAATTTAGTTGGAAATTACTGTATTAGAAGTAGTACAGGAAACAGAATCTTGTTAGAGGGAGATATCAAGAGATAACATAAAATGGGGAAATAATGACTGCAGTGAAATTATTGATAGATTTTATCAAAGACAGGGATTTGACCTGATCTCACTCAGTGTTTTAGTTGATGACCTTGTTACACAGAATAGGATGCTATAATGATGTTTGCTGATGACCTAAGCTGGGAACTGTTTGCAGAGCCAAAAAGGACTGAGAGATCCTACAGAAAAAATGAATTGACATTGAGTGTCAGAGCAAATAATACCTGTGGGCTGAAATTCAACCTGCAAGGTTTTGGGCTGGTACCAAGGGACGAGGAGTTCAGTAATGGGACAGGAGAGAGACTTCAATATAGTAATGGATCACAGGGTGTGAGCAACCACTTTATGACAATGAAAAAAGAAATTGTGATCCTTGGTGTGCAGCAGAAGAGCTCATTTAAAGAGACACAGTAGTGTGATTTTTTTTGGATAAGGCTGTGAGAGTCGAACTTGAGCTTGTAAACATAAGCTCTGGTTATGCATTAAAAGAAGAGGGATGTGAAGACTTCAGGAAGTGCCGAGAGCCGTAGGGATGGTGAAGCAAGTGGAGAGTTTAGCTTGTTTGTCTTGGCAAGCTAAAGCTAAGAAGGGATGTAACAGTTTAAAAGCTCCTATTATGTGCAGTTTGTGAAGTTTGCAATTGGGTCCTACAGTCTCCAGGCTGCATATTGAAAGGACTCCTGTAATTTCTGGGAATTCCTGCGATCACCTGGTGGGCAAAGCCCCCAGGGACTGAGGAGACTCTCAGCTGACATATCTGTATCTGTGACGCTGTACTTTCTTTCCTGGAGGCTAAATGTATTATCCAAGCTCCACTTATGCCATCTGGAGGAGGGGAAAAAAAAAAATCTGGAGCACCTCCCTTTTGCTTGAGGGAAGTGTGTTGCAGTGCCAGTGCCAGCCTCGGTGTGGACGTGTTCAGTGTGAGTCAGGAAGCTAAGAAGCCAGACACCGTGGTTGCCCTCTTTCCCCCCCAAGACATGTTCATCGTTACAAATAACGCAGATAATTGACCATGTAGAAAAGATCCTGTATTCTTAGGAGTCTGCTGCCTCCCTGAACTGCCAGTGGGAAGTTACATGTGATCAGAACTGTTGTTTTTTTCTTTTGTTTTGCCTCTTGGAACTTTTTCTGAGTGATGAAGTGATGTCATATGGCATGGCATTGCATCTTCTGTGCAGTTACCTGTAGTATCTTAACTAGCCTGGATGTATTTAACTTCCCTTTTGACTTTCAATCAGCAAAAGTGAGTGCTACGTCCTCTGCGTTGCTGCTGCGTCCAGAGAGCTTCCCTGGGATCTGCTGAAGCTGGGGAGGAAGGGGGATGGATGTGCTGCTTTGTCTCCCCTTGTGCCCCCATGGCCATAAGTAAGAGTTAACAAAAGCCACCACCAGTTGGCAGTTTCAAATTTTAAAACAATGTCAGGGCTTTTTTTCTTAAGTTCCAGGTGGCTAAGCTGTCGATCAAAGTCCTTGTTATACATGAATGTGGCACTGGATCCATGTATAACAAGACTCTTGATGGATGGGTTTGGGTTTTTTTTTAGAAAGAGTGATTGGGATGGGAACCCTGCCATTCCTGTAGTGCTGGCAGAGTTATTCATGTAGGATGCTATCCAGTACACGGGCAGGGGGATCTCCTTTACTCTCAGGTTCTTTTGCATCTGCTTACAATTGCAGTTTCTAATCATGTAGGGCAGTTTTCACCTGAAGTGAGTTACTTCGGTAAGTATTTCTCTGTATTGAGATTACTTCTCTGGTTCACTGAGTTGTTTGCTCTTATCTGAGGTTACAAAAATGGGTGTGCTCCACGATTGCTGAAATTCTGACTCCATCCTGAAAAATATTTCTCACAATTCACTTTCCCGTTGAGAAATGTTTTCATGGCATCTCTTCAAGAAGAGAGATCTGTGAACCTCTGTGGCTGACTTGAAACTAAGGACTGTTTCCTTGCTTCTGAATTACATAATCTGTAGTTGTTGTTAAAGGACAAGAGAAAACCAATTTATTGTTACTGCAAAGCAAGCCTTTCCTTCATCTGATAGCGGTTTCATTTCTTCACATCTTCTCTGTGGTTTTGCATTCCTAGCTGTCCCATCACACGTTTCTTCCTTGTCTGTCTTCTAGTAGACAAAGCTATTTGTCAAAACCTGTTCTCTTTGTAAGGCATTTTTGCAGCTGTGGTTGGTTCTGCTCTCAAATGACTAATTGCCTCCTTGGAAAATTCAGAAAAATATAATAGCCGTATTTTTTAACTTGATCTCCAATTTATTTAAGAGTATATTTAATGTTTCTTATATCTGCATTTTCACCCTTTTTTATTATTTTTCAGGGTTTGGGTATCTCCTAATTGAGGAGAGTCAAAATACTGGATTGCAAGTGAATCCTCAGTCAGCCTGTTGGATGTCTCTGAGTACATAAGAAGTCATGGCAGAAAGTGATGCAATGCCAACCTTACCAAAAAAGTGTGGCCCGTACATTTCATCTGTAACCAGTCGTGGCATGAATTTGGTAATTCGTGGTATAGTGCTGTTTTTTATTGGCGTATTTCTTGCATTAGTATTAAACTTGCTTCAGATCCAGAGAAACGTTACTCTCTTCCCCCCTGATGTGATCACAAGCATCTTCTCCTCAGCTTGGTGGGTGCCACCTTGCTGTGGCACAGCGTCAGGTAAGTCCAGTCGTGTACGTTTGCCTGGCGTGGAGATGAAAGGGTAGATAGGCAGTTACATAGCTAGAAAAGACTATATGAAAGGTGTGGAAGATCAAAATGTCTCTTCCAGCATCACTGCCACTTTTGAGCTGTTGCTGTCCCTCTGATCTCCCTGTGTATACAGAAATAGACATACCCATGTTTAGAAATTGTTGTTCTGCTAACTTACCATAATATTGTTAGCAGAGTATAACCTTTGCTTTTTCTGCTGAATTAGAGTACAAGTTTAACAGACTTCAAAAGGTGGTGCCACTTGTAACCTGGCTGGATTATGGGAATGTGCTCTACAGGCAGCCCTTGAAAATACCCTGGAAGTGTCAGAATGTGCAGCACCTTGTTTTGAGCATAGCAAACCATCCTGAGTAACAGTCCCTTTTGTGGTCCAGCTTTCTGTTTGTTCCTCATTCCAGTTTGAGGTATCGCTTTAGCTCAATAAAGCTGGGAGACCTGACTGTGTCTCAGGGAGTTGAGGCCAGGCACGCAGTTTGTGGTTGTAGAGGCACGTTGCAGAACAGAGCACCTTGGTTAAATTCATGTATCAAGTTGGATGATGGTGAACGTGCTCCATTTCTCCCATGGCCATATAGGGAATTGAAGCTTTTGCGTGTTCAGCGAGTTTGAGATGTCTACTGTAGGTAGAAATATCCCTTTTTCCTCTTCTTTCATCTTCAAGTATCAAGGCATATTCCATGCTACAAGCCTGATGGAATATAGTTTTCTGCTTGGCTCAGAAGATCACTGTTCCCATGGGTCAGTTTTATACTCTACTAAGGGAATATTCTTAGCAGCCAGCACTGGAGGATCCTGCTTTATCAAACCTTTACAGTAAAGGTGGTATCTTCCTAGAGGTCAGTTTTAATAGGATTGAGAAGCTCACGTTTCTGGGTATTAATGAGTCAGTAAACTACCTTTTGAGTTGGCATCACTGTTTTGCTAATGATAATATTTGTCTGTTTTTTTCTCCTAGTCATCTAATTGCTTTTGTTTTGATAACTTGTTGAAATACTACACCCCAGCTGTCATAGAGGAACTTGATTTGCAAGGAAACCCTCCAAATGCCTCTCTGAATATGTCAGTTTTGTTCTCCTGTTGAAATGCATTTGGCATGTTATGGTGGCAGATACGTACCTGCTTTATCTGCTAGTTGGTTTAGTCCTCTTTCTGTTGTCTTGCTGAGATTGTTGATTAGTTTTTGCTTTGTATCCTGCATGTGCTGCATTTTTCTTTTATACTTTAAACTGGTTGTCTTGACAAACATGTCTGGTAAAGGTTTATATATGGAGTAGTGGGGATTGAAACAACAGACTCTCAGCTTGCAGCAGCAACACATAAGCTCTGCAGTGATCACTGTATGTTTGCACTGTCAGCTGTTTGCATCAGGCTGCATCTTATGCTCTCTTGAGTTGTCCAGTAACACTGTCTACAGCTGTGTGTGGGGAACTCGTGAAGGCTAGATCTCATCATCATCTCAGAAGAAACTTCTGAGCCTTTCTGGTTCTGATGGCTTGGTGTTTTTGATGGAAAGACTGGATGTTGCTTGTATAGTGTAGTCACCTGCTAAGCATTTGCACTACTTGTTTTTAAGCTGCCTGATTTAAAGATATTACTGCCTTAATTGGCTTTTCCCAGCAGGAGTGACCCCCGTTGAGGTGTTCAAGTTCTTTCTTTTTCATTATCAGGCTTTTCTTCTCCATTTTCTTTCCTTATCTTCTCTACTAGCGTACATACAGGGAACCTCTATGGTAAATGCTGATAACTCACCCATTTTCTTACCATTCGTACTTGCATAGCCTTCCTGGAATTAACATGAACATTCCTCTGCAGTATGGTTTATTATTATGAGCAGAATAAAGGTATTTTGCATATTTATAATCAGTGGTGATTGAGACTGCTTTCAGAGAAGTCCTTTCATCTGCCACTGTTATTAGTCATCAGTTTGGCCCAATGCCTTTGGCAAGAAAATTGCTCAGGGAGGTGGGTTTTTTTTCTGCTCCAGCTTTATTGGTGATTTATTTTCCTGAATCCTAGAGATAGTTTTCTCTCTGGCAGCATAAAGACTATTTACCATAATGTACCTCTAACAGCATAGCAGACTGAGGACACTGGAGTACCCGTGACCTGCCCCCCTCCTGCAGCACCAGTTTAACATTAAGCACTGGTGTTATTCCTCAGAGGTGTTGGTAACAGTCTTTTTAACTGCAGTTGCAGTAGAGAACACATTTATGAAAAAATGTTCAAAGAGCATAGCAGTTCCACGGGGTTGAAAGTCCTGTTTGCTTTCTGTATTCAACAGCTACTGCAGGCTCTTGGCTTTCCTTCTTCTGTGTGAGCCTTTATAGTAGCATTGAAGAAGAGAAAAACATTATACAAATAAAACCTGCTTGTAACACCAACAAAAGAAGACACAAAATACTGATATTAGAAACCACACTCTGCCCTTACTGTGGTGTGTTTGTTTTGCAGTTATTTAAATGTGTATGTATGATATGTGGGATTTTCAAAAGTGCCAGCCTGAAAGCTATTACTACAGTTTTTGAAGTGCAGGTTTTGGTAGGGTGCAGAGCTCTTCCATCCTCTGCCACTAGTTCAGATTGTCTCTGTTTTGCTACTTCTGCCAGGTCACTGCTGCAGTGGTTGAAGATGCTGCTGAGCTTCTACAGAGCTTTTCTAAATAATTAAATTGTTTACAATTCCTCTTCTTTTACAATGTATGTTTTGTACAATTTATCCTTAAAAGGTCTGTTTTAGTAGTGACAATAATTGTCAAAGTCTAGATAGTCTTTATTTTAGTTAAATATTGCCAGTGCTTCAACTTCTGGGCCTTTTTTCTTTCCTGTCTCCACAGCTGTGATTGGGTTATTGTACCCATGCATGGACAGACATCTGGGAGAGCCACATAAATTTAAGAGAGAATGGTCCAGTGTAATGCGATGTGTAGCAGTCTTTGTGGGAATAAATCATGCCAGCGCTGTATCCTGTATTCTGATTAAGTTGGTGATAACAAATGGGTTTCCACTAAAACAAGCTCACATAGTCAGTCATGGTGAATTGTTGTTAAAGATACAATATGCAGCATTTTTGCGAGGGAAATGCAGAATATGTGTTAGTGTTAAACTGTCATAGCAGTATTGGAGGTGATGTTTCACATCTGTTCGTTCTGAAAAATCTTTTCATTAGAAATGTCTCCATATTGGGCTTTGTCTTATAGACTTTGTTTTCTTTGAAAAAGTAAGTGCATAGAAATATTTATGTGGTAGGTATTACAGAAAAGTGCTTTAAGACTTTGCAAGAGTTGATGTCCTTTTAACACCGTAGTAAGAGGCTGAAGCCCAGTCTTGAGGTTATCAGTGAAGCACTTTGCAAAGAATGGGGAAAACTCAGGACCAGGTAATACCCAGGACTACACAAAGCACATTAAATGTTGCTACCACATTCTGCAAATGATGCCTTGATGCTGAGAGAGTAGTTACCATTCCCGTGGTCATTCAGTAAGAGCTATTGGAAGTCAGTCACTCCTCCTAATTTTGTAACTACTCAGATACATCCTTGCACAAGTGCACTCAGAACTGGCATCCCTTCCCTCAGAAGCAGCTGGGGACATGCTGGCTGACAGGGTGCTTTTCATGTGGACTGCAATGCCTTACTGGCAGCACTGTGAATATTAGTTGTTTGTGTAGTCCTGCCTAGTGCCTCCTCTGTCAGGTAAAACCAGGACACTGTTCTTGTAAACTAACTGGAAAGGATTCCAGATCATCTCTGGACCTCTCATCTCCTTCAGTGTCAGCTCCAACATGGTTTGCAGAGACCATGCTACGAAGTTCTCACTGTGTGCTACTGAATTGCCTCATTTCAAGAAGAGGGCAAGTTAAGTGAAACATGTGAGAGGTGTCTGAATTCTTACTGAGGTGACTTGGCCCTCAGATGGGTTTTGTTGTTGCTTGCTTTAGTTCCCACTAGCTATCCTATCCAGTAAGGCCAGATGAGCTGGAGCTGCCAAGGTTCAGAGTCATTCCCACTGACCCTCACAAACCTTGCTCTCCTTGCCAAAGATGTGTTAATCTGGTCCTGTGCTTCTCACTGACCTGGACTGTACCTGTTGCGTAAGCACATGCAACTTTGCTGCTTTTAAGAAATACAAGAGAATTGACAGCTTCCCTCTGCATGGGTCAAACTATTTACAGCAGACTGTCTCGCAGTTTTCTAACAGCTGTTACAGATATTCCAGGACATCATTAATGTACTGTCTGTATTTCCTGCTTGACAGCTCTCCAGACTTCTTTCTTTTCAGCTTATTACCAGTTCTGCACATTGCCATATTTGGTGTGGTTTTTTTGGTTGTGTTTGACATTTTTTTTTATGCTATTGATTTTTATCCTGTAATTACTTATTTCAGTTAGTTGAACTTCTTTCTCATTTCTTCTAGGTCTCTCTCCAGTTCTTTGTGAGAAAGTAGGGCAGTGTTTTTATGTTGTCATCCCATAAATTTGCTTTTGGGCTTATGAAACTTGGCAGCCTTCTTTTTAATAATATGTTTTGGACAGGAATAGTGAGGATGAGTTAATATTTCCAAAACATTTTGAAGAATGTGAAATACTGCAAAGGTATCTGGAATGACTTCATACTTTTATCACAGAGTTGACAAAGCTGATTTTCAATATTGATTTACATGAATACTTTCACAGTAATATTATTTACATTTTGTTTTGTAGAAAGCATTAACATTTTTAATGTTTAACTGAATGCAAATTAGCATGTAATTTAAACAAAATTGCAGTTAAATAAGAGTGATAAATACCTTTTTTTTTTTCAGTAAATCCCTGTCATTTGGACATGTCTAATGCTAGATTTGAGATTTTGTGCTTACTTTAATAAAGGACGAGGTAAGGATGAGATGACCTTGCTCTGAACAGTAATGTGTGCATTGTACGTCTGTATAAAACACCTGCATTGTCTGGTAGATGTATAGTCTCTTCACTCTTGAACAGTGCTAAGACCCTAAAAGTGTGAAGAAGTGTCATAAGTTTTTAGTTTCCTGTTATATTTGCAACACTTCAAAGCTTATTTCCTGATACTCCATAGCTGTGTGATAGCTGATACAGCTAGTGCTGTATTTTTTTTAATGGTATTTCTTTTCGGTTGTGCCAAACAATGATAACCAGAATAAAGAAAACTGCTTTACACTTGTATATGGTATTTCCAAACTTATCCTTAACAATCAACACAGAAAGTGAATTTTGCCAACAATATCCAGTTGTCCCTCACATTAGCAGCCCTGTCAATTGGACTCTGGTGGACGTTTGATAGGTCACGAAGTGGCTTTGGTCTTGGAATAGGAATTGCTTTTCTGGCCACGTTGGTGTCACAACTTCTGGTCTACAATGGAGTTTATCAGTAAGTATTTATTCCTTTAAGGTTAGTTTATATTCTCCTGAAGCTATAACAACAAAGTCAGAATAACTGAAAGGTAGAATTTGACATGATTTCCAACAATTTTGAGTGTAACATAAGTTGGACTGTTCTTGAAAGCTTTTATGTGTTTGTAAGTGAGAATTTTAGTTGGAAGTTAGTTATTTCAGTAAAATTGCTACCTTACCAACAGTGTAACATATTTTTTTAGTTGAACAAATGGTATTATAATCAATAAGAAGCTTCATTTGTTATTTGCTGCAAGTAATTAAATTTCTATAATACAAATCTTTTTGAGTTGAAATGCCCTAAAATTTAAATTTGTGAATTTGTCTCATGTGATGAGAGGAATATATGTATTGCACAACGTTGAGCTCAAAAATGCATGTTCTTTTCCAGATACACATCTCCAGATTTCCTTTATGTTCGTTCCTGGTTGCCATGTATATTTTTTGCTGGTGGAATAACTATGGGCAATATTGGCAGGCAGCTGGCAATGGTAAGTTCAGAGCAGGGCGTCAGTTGCATACTAGTAAAAGTTCTCATCTACGTGGCATTCCTTCCTTCATATATACCAACCAGCTATTTGAGTTGTAGATGTGGAGTTAGGTAAAAATCAGTTGTGGTTAGTGAGTTGTTAGTAGCATTATTCAGAGCACAGCCCATGACTTTGCTCTGTACGCTCTCAGCTGCATACTTGTAGTCCTTACAGGACCAGGAGTTTAAGAGCTCCCGTATGTGGGGAGAAGTCAGGCCATCCCCTAAGTCTCAACTGCTCTTTCTGCTGCTCAAGGAAACAGAAATTGCAGCCAACAGTGTGTGCATAGAACTTAGGGAGACCAAGCTTATCTGGGTGAAGTGTAAGTTAAGCTCTTTTATCACCCTTTTTGTAGAAAAATTCCCTTCATAGTGGTCTTTTTCATTGGTTATGTAACTTAATATTATTAATTTTGTCAACTTCTGTTTTTCAGTATGAATGCAAAGTCATTGCAGAGAAGTCTCACGAGGACTGAGGAGAAACAATATGCACCTTTTAAACAGGAAAAATATCTGACAAATGACTGTTGGAGGAGCATAAGGAACACTTGACTATGAAATTGCCAAAATGCAATTTTGTTTTCCTTAAGTGGTATACTTTACTGCAATCTGTGATTGCTGCTTCTGTAGAAACCTTGATGTCTGATTTTGATTACTGTGAAGTTACAATAGTATGCAATACATTTGACAATATTGGTTCAATTATAGGATTTTTTTTTTCCACATCTAAACTCAGTTTACCATGAATTCTTGTCTGTCCATAATGTTGCAGTGCCAAACTGAACCTTTGCACTATGTTTCTGTAGCTGAAACTTCTGCTTCACTTTATCTTGAAAGTTTTGAGGAATTTGTTCTTGATAGCTCAGTGAAAGATGGGGGAATTCAGATTTAGGAATTAAGATCTTATCTTTCCATGATGATAGCCTGTAGTATCTGTCTGAAATTCATGGATTACAGGTGAGCTTTGATACAGTAACTGATGGATTTCTGCCTCTAACACATTATCTTCTTGTATCACAGGTGAGGAGACTTAATACGGATTTTGTGGGTTATTGCCATAGCATTGCATTTGTCTATGGTATGTGCCCATATTACAGAATACAGAAATGGAAACCGAGGCTGGAAGATATTTGCTGTTTTTTCCCCTGGTACAACCAGTTTACATGTTTGTATATGAACTTATGTGGACCATCGTCAGATGTGGACAGATTCGGAAACTACTTGTGTTGAGTAACAGGACACAATTCAGGTCATTCTTCTACAATCCCTTAAGCTGACTTGTGTTGATCCCTTATAAAAAAAAAAATCTTAGAGCGGTTTTATTCTGAAACTTAATTCTGCTGAACTAAATCAGCCACTATCATAAAGCGTCATAAAACCCTCTGTTACTAATGTTACTTTTGATATTTCTTGTCTACTACCGGCTCTGTTTGCAGCATCGGTAGAAGGAGGCAAGGATGTATTTTAGGTACTGATGTAGCCCTTATTACTGTGACTATGGTCCAGGCAACCATAAACGCATTTGTTCTCATAACAGTTTTCAGAGGCAGAGAAATATTGTTACCGTTGTTTTACAGGTGCCTGTGCACAGAAATTCTGATAGGACAGAGAGCTGAAATGGACTGTGTGCTAATTGGTTCCCTTCTTAAGAAGAAGGATTTTAGTGTGTGACCCATATTTGGGGGCATACGTGGAATTTCCTCCTGGCTTTGCAGCTCCCTTTTAAGACCCTTTTAAGATAAAAGAACTTGTACAAGAAGGCAGAAAGCAGACTTCAAGAGGACACTGCGAACCTGTGCCAGCAGTGAATTTGGCATGGGATGGCTCTGCTTTTTTTTACCCCTTGTCTCTGTGTTGATGTTTTAATGTATTCTTTTTCCTTTTTTGTCTTGAAGTACTATTTTTTAAATCTTCCATGAAAGGTTTATAAGACATGTTACAGTCACCTCGGGAGGGCTGGAGCTGGTCCAAAGAACAAATAGATGTTTAGACAAGTTTTTATTAATAAATGTGTGTATGCAATGTACACGAAGCTTGAAATAGGCGACTCTCAGTCTTATATGCTTATCTCTAAGTCTGAAAATTATGCAGTGGAGTGCTTCCAAAAGCGTTGTAACAAAAGAGGTCACAAAAGGAAAATTTCTTGAATGAGGAAGTGTAAAAATAATAAGCAGATGAAGTATGAAGAGCTTGGTTCTTCAGCCCCACAGAGTTTCATCAGCTTATCGCATTTCCATGACAATTCAACACCTGAAGCACACTTTGATTGGGTAATGTTTCAGGAAAGCACTGCACTTTGCTTTAAGCAGAGGTACAACATGTTTAAGTAAATCCTGGACTAGACATCTTCTTTTAATCAAACCATATGGCAATAAGAAGCATTATATTAGTAAACCCAAGAAACTGTTAGGGCATGAACTAAGGGTGAGTTTCTTTAGGCAGGCTCTGGCATTTCACTGAAGAAGCTGTTGGATCCCTTTCTATACAGTATTTTGCCTCATCCACCTTCTTAAGCAAATGGCTTCAGCTTGGTGGGCAGCGTGATGAGTCCCTCTTGAATTATCAGGGCATGAATGGCATAAAAATTCATATGTTTCTTATCCAGACTGTAGGGATCAACAGGATACCTCTGTAGCCAGTGTGCTGACTTGGTAAACAATTTCACTTCATCATGACCACTAAGTGTATACAACTGGAGATGAGTAGTTCTTACTATTCACTTGGTGATAGAACTGCTTTTACCTGCCAATCTAAATATTTACACAGAAGAAGCCTCATATATGTTAAAATGTGCATTATGTGAGAAGTGGTTGTTGTGCAGCTGTGGCACCCACTTTACAACACTTTGCACTCAGATTCATCGAAACCTGATCAGACTCTGTGGTCCACTAACTTTAAATTTCATTTTGGAAATTTTGAGCATGTTGTGCAAAGACAGCAATTGTCCAAAATAAATTTGGGTGGAGTCATTTATTATATGTGTTCTACTATTTTTGTTCTTATTTGACTAAAGTCAATACAGGTTTCACATCTTGAATGTCGTGTTTTTTCCAAACTGCATTGTAATTTTATGGCTGATGTGTTCAAACCCTGAAAAAGGTTCATGATGAGAATGCTGACACGGCCTTAACTGTAGTGGTGTGAACATGCTGCTACTGTATAGCATGTAATTATAACATTAGACTGTCTCTAAAATGTTGTTCAATAGAGAATGAATAAGGTATATTTTAGATACAACTTTATAAGCACTATAACCTCTTCACTAATTAAGCATTGTAAGGTCTATGCTGTTTAAACTGGCAAATTGCTGTTAAAAGCAAAATATGCATTAAATACAATTACAACCTTGTTTGGTAGGTTTCTTCTTTCTTTAGGAAATGATACTGATTTTTAAAATACATTGATTTGCCTTCTATCAGCAATCTCCTCATAATTTTGACCCTTGAGCTGGCATATTGGTTGCACAAAGCACCTGTCTAGAAATACTAAAAAAGAAGCAGGCAAGATCAAATCAGCAGCTATTCTATCATAATTAGCATGCTGAGCAGCCTTTGAAAATTTGCCCTTTTAAATCTGCAGTGGAAATATTTGAGCTGGAGGAAAATAAGCCGGATAAATTCAGTTGCAATACAGAAAATAGAGATTTAGATATAAATAGCCCCTATGAATATGGGGGAAAAAAAAAAAAAAGGAAAAAAAGGATGGCAGGGAATCCCTTAATATATTTGTATTTATTTATGTTCCAGTCTGCATAGGAACAGAATGTTATTCTGGTATTCACAGATGGTTTGTTCATAGTGCCCATCACTGTCTCAAAAAAGATGTAACAAATAGATGTTTAGAAGTGGGTAATGAAAAAGCCTCCAGGCAAAGGTGATGAAAGGGTGGGAAGAGGGGTTCATCAGTATTTGAGATGCAGTGCCCACAGGAGTCCCACAGCAGGCAAACACAAGTGAAAGTTGGAAAGAGTGCAGTGATGAACCAAAAAACCCCGTGTTTGTGTTGGAAACATGTGACCCAAAAATCTGAACTCTTCTGTCAGAATGCAGCGTACTGGGCATGCCAAGATGGCAAATTACAGCCAAGGATAGAAATAACTGTAATTTTACATCGTCATAGCACTAAGATCAGTCAAAAGCATGCTGTCAAAGGTGCTTTGCTGGAGTCTTAACCTCTCCTTCATCCGTAGCCGCTCCGAGAGCATTACCCAGGGGACTGGAAACTCTGGGTCCTTCCTGCCCAAGTTCAGCCTGAGGGTGTTGAATGAAAATTTGCCCACTTTGGAGAGAATATTCCAACCGCTGGGCTGCCAGATTCTCGTGAAATGCATCTTGTGCCTCCCTTTATAACGTGGCTGCTGTAAGCAGCTAGAGGGAGAGTAAACAAAGAAACTTTTCCTATGTAGCTTCTGTACTTCTGCCATCTGTCTGGGAGCTGCCTCGGGGACCTACAGGCATACACCAGCCTTCATTTATATCTCTCCCAGCATGTAAAGAAGGGACATAATTTTACCAGCTGCGTCACCCTGGACATTTTGCATATGATTTTTCCATTTTGGAGTAGTGTTACCAATAATTCCTAATGGTAATGGATGAATATAACCTGTGGAAGTGATGATAAATATCAAATACAGTGCTTATAAAAAAAAGTACGTGCACAGCTGGGCAGAGGGAACGCATGTCTCGCCGTGGGAATAGCTATCTAATGCTGTTAGTTTTGATGCCAGTACTAAATGCAAAGCATGAGTAATTTTGCAGCTTAATGTTCAGTACTAAACAGTAAATGAAAGGTCAGTCCAACATGTTAACTGTCATGGAATAGTAAACACTACTTTAATTGCTTCATGCAGCCAGCTTGGATTTTTGGTGTGTCTGTTGTCATGTTTTGAGCAGTATGGTCCAGAGCTTTGTCCTGATTACCTCCCCTGGTCAAGTGAAAAAGCCTCAAATTAAAGGATAAACTTTATGCCTGGGCTTTTCAGGCAGCATACTGGGAGTGTGCTTTGAATGCTTAAAAGCCATGCTGGGGAAGAGCTAGGGGTCATTTCTTGATCTGAAATCTACGTTGGAATGTAGGTTTGCATTTTCTTGAAGTTTTCCTTTCTTGCTTTTCATTTCTGAAGTGCAGAAGTTTAGCAGCTCCTGTTGCACTTTCATACTCTGTTTTTCAGCCTCCCCAGCACTATAGCAGATAAGAAACAACATATACAGATAAGAAAGAACATGAAGGGAAAGGGCTACTGCTAGGTTTCCCCAGGCCAAGCCCATTGAGAGCTCAGGGGTGTCCAGTGTGCCACGTGCATCGGTGTCAGACACACAACCTGCAACGTCCCCAGATCACAGTTCTTAGCATTCGCTTTCTGTACTGGCAGCAGTTTTGCCCTGACTTTTGCATTTAAAAATCAGCAGGGAGAGATCTGTTGTACTGTAGTTATGAAGCAATACACGTGCACATTTCAGAGTATTCACAATGGCAACATCTGCAGGTATAGCCGTAAGGTCTGCTTTTTATGAATCCGTTGATAGAAGTCCTGAAATTGTGCCTTTTAATCAAATATGGCAAAATATTTGTTGAAAGAAAATCTGTATTCATGAATATGTTGCTGTCTGAATTCACAACGAAATTCTGCTATTTCTGTTCTCCAATTAGTTCAATGTATGCCTTGTGTTACGTGAGATAAACCAACATTCCAGATATTTAATACCTTTTTGGTAATCAAACCTTAAAGCAAGATTTGCTTCATGCAATTATTCAGGGGAAAATGTGTGAACTAAAAAGAAAGCTGAGAGGAATAGAGTTGAAACTTAATTTACCGGGTAGAAATTATGCCAGGAGAAGCTCCAACATTTTGGATAATGTTGCACGAAATCGTTCTGTTTTCATTCTGAGTTTCAAAACAAGAGGGGAAGAGGAGCCTTACAGATGCGGTGCATTTGTATTGACTTGTTCTGATCTTCAGCTGTTTTCCAAAGGTACCACTTCATTGGCCATGATCGCCAGAGCGTGTTTTGACTCGTCTGTTTTCCTCTAACCCAGCTGTGCCAGTTGTTTCCTCAGTGACTAGAGACGCCTGGGGTAAGCCTGGCCATGCCACCAGAGAATTAATTCATAGGAAAATGGTTTTAGCAACTTCTTGCTGAGAATTACACGGTCCATTTGAACTTTGTGAGAAACTGGTCATCTGGCCCTGGGCACTTCGGTTGGTTAACGGAGAGGTAAAGGTGATGGATGTGACTACATGGCGCTTGGGTGGGGGGTGAAGTCTCTGGAAGAACTGTCAATTATAGGTTCTAACAAAAAGCAAAGTTTCCCTGCTCTACACACCATTGTTTCTTCTCTGGAGTGGTGAAACCTGCCATCAGTGTGCCGAAGAGGGAAGAATATGTTTTTTTCCTCCTCCTTACTCTTCCTTTGCACAAATACATAGGAAGCTGAGCTGAGGACAGTTAATCCAGTTCTTGGAACTGGGACTATGTCTAGGCTGGGTTAGCACTGAAAGACTCCACTGTTTTCTTTTTAAAAACAAATGCTTGGTCTGTGCTGCATGTCAAGTGCAATCATTGCTGAATGAACTGACATGCAAAGCCAAGTTCTCAGCTGAACTGGCATAGCTCCATCGATTTCAGTGGATATGCAGCATTTCATGCTGTTTGGGAATTTGGCCCACTGTGTTTGAAAGGGATGAAATTGTTTAGACCTCACTTCTTTTCTAATGTGATACAGGTCAAAAAAATTCCTACATTGTGCAACAAGTAAGAGCAGCACACTGCAGAATCTGCCTTTCCCTCTTCTCTTTCACCACTGGTGAAAATTGTCATCATTCTTTCTGATTTACAGTGTGCGCTTTTTATATGCTATATCAGCTCTTCAGGAGGACAGACTTACAAGAATCAGATCTGGCAGATGTGATTAATAATGATGCAAATGCAAAATGTTGGCCACTGATGAGCTTGTTGTCATAAATCCTTGCCACGATCTTGCTTTTTTTCTTTTTTTTTTTCCCTTTTTTTTTTTTTTTTTTTGTCCAGTATTTCACTTGTAAGAAATTCAGCTGAGGATTAGTGTTGGACCTGTGCCTGATCTGATTAAACTGGAGAGAGAGAAATAATACTGCTTTGTGTGGTTTCAGATGACTCTTACCAACCAGTTTCCTCAAATCAGTGCAACAAGCAAAAATGCAGCTGTAGTAGTGGCTTGGAGAAGATGAATTGAAAGATCCTGAAGACTGATGTTTCAAGGACAAGAATTGATGTAGTGATGTATCCACTATGGTGATAAGTGGTATAAGAAATGATAGACACGTAGTATTATATAAGTAATAAAAATAGAAATGCAGTGTTAAGAAATACTTAAGCTGGTAGAAATTGAGACATGTAGCCATTCCTGGAAACACTTTTGGTTTTTTTTTTTGCAGGTGTTGGTCGTTGCATTCGTTCAGGGGATGAACTCTGGGACAGTGAAGGGCAGCAAGATGAGTGGTCACTTGATAAGCTGGCTAGATACAAAAGAGTTCAGTTTAGATGTCAGGTCAAAATGCTCAGCACGAAGACAAATACCTTTTTTATAGTACACACACACTGCCTTTTTGATTTTTTTAAAATGTAAATTTATAAAAGAGAATCACCTTTAAGTACCAAGGGACAGACAGCGATATCACAAGTTGCATTTGCATTCAAACCTTAATCACCATGAGAATATATTTAAAGGCGAGAGAAAGAACTGTTCTTTCAGTCCCACATGTGCCACTTTAAGGTGCTTTTATGAACCCCAAGTCCTGGATTTGGAGTGCTCCTTGGGATTCAGAAACCACCAGGTTTCTGGATCAGCTCACTGGTAAATGAGGATGGTCATGTTGCTTCTGCCACCTGTGGCTTGTCAAATGTGGTCTCTTAATCTGTTCCCAGGGAATAAAAGAAGCTTGGTTGAAGCAGTAGGAGTTCCCCAGTCCCCTGCTTTCCATCACAGCACCAATACACAGGTCAGTGCAGAGGGAAGGCCTTATTGTCAATGGTACTGGCTCCTGCTTTCCACTGGTCATAAAAGAGATGTACCAGAGATGCTGTGCAATGAGAAAGGGACCCAGATACCAGAAACCCCCCCAAACTATCTCATCAGGGAAGTTTCAGAGCTACAGGGGACAGTACATGCTTTCTGGCATCTTCTGAATCAGCTTTTCATGGAATACTTATGCTTTGATGAACTGTCAAACTTTGATAGTTTGTGATTTCTAAGGTTATAGTAACTAATGAAACCCAGAGAGATGTGGTGAGGTTGGTTGTTGTAGCTGCTACACAGCAGATTACTAAGGGATGTGTCCTAGAAAAGGGGCCATGCAGCACTTCTGATGTCTCTCTTGCATAGCTGCTGTGAGGCACATGCTGAAATTTCACTGAGGAAGGACGTAAACAAACAACTGACACTTGTATAGACAAATCTTTATGGGATTTGATACCCTGCCTAATTCTGACTGATGTTAAAGGGACTTAACGGGTAGGAAAAGCTGCTAGAAAAATTGTTCTACTCGAGCTCAGATAAATGGTGCAGAGTATCTGGTGTGTGCAATGAAGATGAACATATGTTCATCACTGGCATCTCTTAAATTATTAAAGCCTATTCATTGTGCTATCTAAAATTCTTGAAAACAATATCTTATCGCCCGTTGCACTGTTTCCCTGAGACAGTTCGTAAGCACAGTCGCATCTTACCGCTGATTAAAACGGTAACTTCCAACTTAATCTTCCTCTGGGAGGAAAGTATTTTAGATATTAGTTTTCCTTTACTTCTTCCAATATTGGGCTTCTCTTCATCGCAATATTATTTTTAATTAAATCTGCTGACCCTTTGTTATGAATTCTAATGTAAAAAAGGCTGATTATTACCCAGGCACAATATCTACTTTTAAAAAAATGCCTGCATTTTATTCTGTCACCCAGTTAACATCTAAAACATACACCTCTAAACATTTACATATGTCCTTAACTTTCAGGATGTCTTCATCAAGTTGATGTGTCTGAGGCCTGACACAAGTTGTTAGACAATGTTGTCTCCATTCCTGGGAGCAGAGCTTGGGTTTGTTGAAGCGCAGAGAGCCTGGGCCGTGGTCAGACCTTGAAGGTGGCTGCGAGCAGAAGATGGAGACCCACCTGCTCTCCATCCCCACCAGTTCAAAGGGACCCGCCAAAGCTGTACTTGGAGCCAAGTGATAATTGTACAGTTTTGCTTTACAGTTAACCGAGTGTTGGAGGAAAAAAAAAAAAAAAAATCTTGTCAAAATGCCAGACGCCGCTTGTTTTTGACATTTTCAGCTACTGTTAAATAATAGTCTTGCTTCTGTCACAGCTAATGTTGACTTGAAGGCAGTTGTGCATTTCTCAACTCAAATGCTAAGCAGACAGGCTTGGGTCTTGACAAATATTTTCCGGGCTTGCCCAAGGCAAGTAAAAATGAGCTTCTAGTTAATCGTTTGTTTTAAAATTCAAATTGGTGAAATAGGCAATTAAAAAAATGACAATTTTCATCAAAATTTGCAAATTAAATGTCTCTGCAGTCAGAGCAGGTTCAAGAAACTGCAATAGATAATTGCTATTTGAAGTCAGTGAAGTATCCAGCATTTTAGGGCCATGAGGATTGTGGCTGTTCTGCCTTAGTAAACCTTGATTGATTTGGTAAATAAGCATTTCAACTTCTCTCTTTAAAATAAATAAGCAATTTTATTGCTTTATTGCTTACCCCTGTATGGGAGGTAAACAAGCTCTCGAGCAGTAACCCTGTAATATCATGAGCCCAAGTGCCATCTGTCACCGAGAATTTTGTCCCTTTATGCATAATAGCTTCTTATGGCATTAGGTCCGTTGTAGGT